GCCGGGTCGAAGGAGACAGAGGACGACGCCCTGCCCATGTGGGACATAGCCCACGCAGAGAACTCCGAGACCTCCTCGCCTGGGTACGCAGCCTCCTGCGAGAAAGACGGGAAGATGGTGAGAAATCAAGCAGAATTGAGCGTCAAAATAAATGAAAGAAATCACTTACGTATGCTTGTTTGTATCCGAGGAGGCTACGGCTGCCTTGATGGTGAGTTGGACCTTGCCTCATTAGACGCTGTTCCCGCTGCCTCTCGTGCGTGTCAACAAAGTCCTGTGATAACCACTTGTCCACGATCATGGCCCAGCACTCGGGATACGATCGGCACTACTAGGGAATCACCTACAAGTCATCGAGTATTTGACATATAAGAAGATGAAATTGAACCTACTTAATATCAAAACGAATCATTATGAATGTTATTCGCCTACCTCAAGGAACTGGTCCCGGGTCAGCGTAATCCGTCTTGCTTGAGGCTTAGGGAGGGACTGCCTAAGTACCGACCTGTAGTAGTCTATGTGGGCCTGGACGCGCCCATGGTGGTGCATCTCGGTGACGTACTTCCTACAAGCTACGGCAGCCGCCCGATCCACCTGGGCCTCAAGTCCTTCTTCGGCCTTGAAATATTTCTGCATACAAAACCGATGTATCCATTCATTATTTCGATAAAAGATTTAACCAATGAATGCGATGTATTAAGCAATGTTGTGCGAGAGAGACTTACCCAAAACTCCGCCAATACTCGCTCCTGCTTGTTGCGGTAAGTGTCATCCGTGACCAGCGCGTACCTGTCCTAGTTGGAGGCCGGCTCCTGCACCACCGGCTCTTCGGACAGTTGCACAATGCCGGGGTACCATTTCCTGCACAAAACACCAAGGATGCTCGCGGGGGTGCGTGCTGGAGTACCCGACAAAACCAACCAGGCCCTGCACAAGTGATTAAGAAAATTTATCAGTTTCTCTTAAGATTTCCAACATATCTTATGAAGTAGTTGTGATAACATCCATAGTTACTTACCTCTTTGCCATAGGCCGAATCACTGAGCGGTTGTGAGAAAGCGGAACTGGAGGGAGGCTCGTGGGACCTCGCTCGTAGAGAGTCCGGGTAGTGGTACCCTCTCCCTCGCCCTCGAACGCCTCGCCTCCCTCGCCCTCGAGCGCCTCGCCTCCCTCGCCCGTCTGCTGACCCCTCTCGTCCTCCGGCGAGGACGAGGCCGCCGCTGCCACGTGCTCCTCCTCCAAAGACCTCGTTACGTGTCGAGGAGGAAACCGCCTCCTCTGCGCGGCTGCCCCTGGTCCTCCTCTCGTCACCTCCTGCGGACGCTACCCAGACGACGACCCTCACCTCGAAGAGAGGGGGCGGTCTCTCCAGTAAACCGAGGCGTGTCACGGCGGGGGTCGCCTCTGCCGCCATCTTTGTCCAATCACCGCAATCACAAAGAATGAACAAGACTAATTAGTACATATATTAGAAATAGATTCAAAATATATAAACAAAACACAAATTAAAAAACCATAGTATTACATGTATTAGGAATAATCTTCATGATTGGGATCATAGGTCTCATCATCACTGTCAAAATTGTCCAAATGGGCAACACTATCCGAAGGTTACGCGCGGGCTATGACAGACATGCGCAAAAAGAGGTTATTTATACCTAGGGTGTCGGTGAAGTAAGGCTAGCGGGCAAAGGCGAATCGATGCAATGCGGTGGCGAGGCAACGCAGCAGGTGAAAGCGAGAACCGCTGACGTCGACGAAGACGATCGGGGTCCTCCGGTCCCCTCCGACGCGTTTTCTCTCCTGCATAAAAAGACAATAGGTTATTTTTATTCAAAATTTCGCGCACACTCTCCTGCACGGGGAGGTTTCCAAAACCTACAAAAAACGACACGATGGCCGACATTCACAACGACACGAAGGCCGACAACCACAACGGCACGAAGGCCCTCATATCAACTTACGGCACGAAGGCCCACACAACCACATATGGCACGAAGGCCGACAACGAGAGTTTTACCTAGGGTTGCGGTGGAGTCGGGCGTCGTGGTGCGGGGGTCACTTTCTTCTCCAGCGAGGTCGAGCGGCGTTGGAGTACTCCTCTCCCCCTCTTCCCTTTCTTCTCTCCTTTTCCCCTTCTTCTCCTTCTCTTCCCCTTCCTCCTTCTCCTCTTCTTCTCCTTTTCTTCCCCTTCCTCCTTCTCCTCTTCTCCTTCTCTTCTTCCTCCAACTTCACCCTCTGCCTCCTCCCCTCCAACAGCAGCCGGCGACGGGGGCGGCCTGGGGGCTGGGGTCGGGGCGGGAAGGCCGGCGAGGGGGAGCCACCGGAGGGCCGGCCGGGGCGGTCGACCTCCCCTTGCTCGATGGAGACGGGGAACGGAGGCAGGGCGCGACCTCGGCCGCCACTGGGCGTGGTGGGGCGGCGGGGCACGCTGGTGGGGCGCCGGGGCGCGCTGGGCGGCCGAGCGCGGGGCGGTGGGGCGCGGGGTGGCCGGGCACGCAGCGGCGGGCGCGCGGTGGTGGAGGCGCGGGGCGATAACATGACATCTGGGTTTCAAGCATCCGACGTCGCAACTCGCTCGAAGCCTTCTCAATTTTTTACCACAGCCTACACATGCGATAACATGACATCTCGCCAAGTTTCGTGATTTTCGGACTTCGTATGGATTTTATATAATTTTAAAACACTTTTCTGGCAAGTCGGTCGTCATGTTACGCGAACAAGATGCGTGAAAATTTGATGCGAGTTCGTGGATAGGGACTCAACATGCACCAATTAACATGAATAACATTTTTTGAAACACTACATTGCAATATTCCATGCACCTGCAGTTCAAATTTGACATATTTGAAAAAAATCAAAGAATCGAAATAAATTAAGGAAATATACAAAATAAAATCAAAATTGGCCTAAATTTTAAAATTGAGTTCAAAACAAGGTATTGTAGCACCACAAAAAAATTGGGCTAAAAAAACCAAAAAAAAATTGTCGAGGGCTCTTTGCCGAGGGCCTGGCCCGTGGCCCTCAGCAAAGAATTTAAAAAAAAATAAATAATCTTTGCCGAGAGCCTATCCTGACCCTCGGCAAAGGGCTTCTTTGCCGAGGGCCTAGCCTCGGGCCCTCGGCAAAAGAGATTTATAAAAAAAAAATTAGCCAAAAAATTGGTTTTAAAAAAATCTTTGCAGAGGGCCTGGTCTAGGGCCCTCGACAAAGACTTAAAAAAATATTGCCGAATAACCTAGTTTCACAGAAAAAAAAACCTTTGCCGAGGGCCTAACGGGTGGCCCTCGGCAAAGCTTGACGGGGAATGGCCACCGTGACCCAACGGGCCTAATTTGCCGAGGGCCGCGGCCCTCGGCAAAGATTTGATTTGCCGTGGGTCTGTCTTTGCCGAGGGCCGTTCTTTGCCGAGGGCTCATGTGGCTGGCCCTCGGCAAAGAGTGTTTTTGCCGAGTGCCCAAGATTTGGCCCTCGGCAAAGCCTCAGATCCTCGGCAAAGCACGCGTTTCCAGTAGTGAACAGCAGGGACCGCCTTGACCGAGTCTCAAATCGGCCAGGCCGGATGTGCAGGGCACAACGATACAAGCCAGCCTGGCTTGTTTCTCATGGCCGGGCGCGCATGAGAGCAGACAGACGGTGTGGCCGGTTTGGGAGACCGGCCAGGCCGATTTGATAGGCTCGACGTCACCTTCTTCTCTTCTCGTTCTTCGAAGCTCAATGCGTCATGTATATCATTGCGAAATCCCTTGATCATTTTTAGTCATCAGCAGCAGTTTTATGAAATGCACCGTGTGCTACTTGAGAAGAGTAAAAGGAGGAATTGAACACTAATCTTCTACTGTTATCTACCACTACCGGTCACTGTGAGGCACTCGGCAAAGCCAAGAATACACTCGGCAAACGCTTTGCTGAGTGTCATATTCGGCAAAGATCACTCGGCAAAGTAGCAGTCGGCAAAGAACTTTTTGCTGAGTGTTTTCTTTCGGGCACTTGGCAAAGCGTTTGCCGAGTGCCCGACACTCGGCAAATTTCAAAACGAAAAAATCCGAAAAAATAGAATTTGTTTTTCGGGGAGAGGCGGCCACCGGCCACCGGCCACCGGCCAGCGTCCGCCCGTCTCCGTCGAAGTCGCAAGTCGCTCGTCGAAGATTCATTGTTCTTGTACCATGCGCTGGGCATAGGATGGGCGGCAGGCCTCTCAACTGTCTACCTCATCTTGTTACTTAACCTGAAGTGGAGAATTGCATGGTTCTTGTTTTTTGATCGATTGTATGACCAGGTTTACGTACACGTGACCTTGACTTGGGCATCTTTGACAAGAGCATCGGATTGAAGCCGGCCTTATCAGAAACGCCGGTGCTAGTAGCTAGTAGTAGAGCATGATGCCTCCAGTCCATTATCATAAGTGCCTATATATACTTATATGAATAATAAAGGCTGGGATTTATGTTAATCCTTTCATTTTAGAGTTTAATTGAGTCTTTCCCCTTTGGTATTCCCTTAGTGCTAACTTTATTATGTATATGTCAAAAATACACAGAAGTGATAAAGACAAGTGTCAGGTCGATTCAGTACGATCGATCACTTATATTATATAGCCCTCTGACCAGGGCTCGGCAAAGGCCCCTCACTAATCACTGTAATGGTGACTTAATTCAACATTACAAATAGCAGCGAAGATGCGTAACGAAAAACATCATTTTTCATTCGCTCATATTGTGCTAGCCAATTGATTACTACAGATACCAGTCATATTGACAGGCAGCTGTGAGCTAGAATCCATTTTTTTAAAGCATTATTCATCAGACTCGGCTCAGAATGTAAAAACACAATTTACAAAGATGGTTGCTTTAATTGAAGAACTACACGACCGATGATTGTTTTAAAGTGAAGAAGTATGATGGTAACGAATGTGAAAAAAAGTAATTTTACAGTCAATATATAATACACAAAGACGCCCATAGACCAGAGGCGGCCCATACAACAGTGATGAATGTAAATCAACCCAACTCTTTTGAATCTCGAAGCAAGGCAGAGGTTGCTGACTCGGAAGAGACCTTGGAGTGGCCACCGATTGTCGCCGTGGTCGCAGAAGAGGAGCTCTGAACGGACAAGGCGCCGATAGCACGTCCAGTGACGGCAAACTCCGACACCGTCCTATACATCTGAGGCGTGAGCTTCGGAAGCCTGGCATCCTCTGACTGCAGGACGTGCATGGCCTGTGCGATGGACGACCGTTCGTTCTGGTCAGGGTGCGTGTACCACAGCCCGACGACGAGCACCCTCTCCATGCACCTATCGTTGGCCTCGTCGCCGGCGGCCCTCAGCCATTCGTCCGCCGCGTCGAGGATTGTGTTCCGGCCATACAGGCCCCACATCCACTTGACCAGAACGAAGTGCGCACCGCCTTCCAGCAGGATCACGGAGCACCGGCCGGAGACAATGTCGAGGAGGACGATGCCGAAGCTGTAGACGTCAGAGTAGGTGCTCGGGTGGTACGTGTTGACAAACTCCGGTGTCACACCCGGTTTTAAGGACAAAACCTGATGCACACCATATGTGAGTCTTTAGAATCAATTCTCACATATAGCTACAAAAGAAAGGTGATATCAAATAACAATGCTTATTATATAACGTACTTAGTAAAAGAGATAACCTTAGAAAGCAATCAACGAAAGGAAAACTCCGATCTCCGGGTGTAAACTCCACTCCACTGGATCCAACTGACTGGTTGACCACAAGCCTAACTTCTCAAGTCTCTGACAAACTGTTATCCAGCCTAAGGTGTGGGGGAAATTGTAAGAGTAAGTCCATGTCGAACTCCGCAAATATAGCAACAAGGTAGTGTAATCCATAACCACATGATCAAGTGTAATTGAATAATGAATTGCACATAAACAATTTAAATGAACATACAACAATTCCCTCAGTTTTCCGGGCCGCCCGTATCGGTGGGCACGGCTAGTATACCAGTTTATTAAACTCTGCGCAGAGGTGTACACTTTCACTGTAAGTCATGATTCTCATATGCCCGGGTTAGCTAGACCCAAAACACAGAGAACCATATAAAGCCACCCAAGAGCTCGTCTAACCGGCCAAGGCCGCAGGGTCATCAGATATAGGAACCCCCTTCCGAAAATAAAGTAAAAGGCTGCTTCCAAAGCTAGGCTCAACAGGACAGAGGCTGTCCTATACCCAACTCGCAGACCTCTAACTAGCTAGAAAAGGGTTTCTTAAGCAACTAGAGCCAGAGCCATATAGCCCTCACAGTTGTATTGTAAGTCCCAGCTTTTACCAAAGGATAACATTCATCATTTATGTTTATATCACATTTCATTAAACAAGCCCAAGATCATAGTCACAGAAAGAAAACCCAAGCTATACTTGCATTTAACTTAGATCCTTGTTCAAGTCCAAGCCTTCGATGAACCTCTTCTTAGCCAGCAACTTCTTCTAGATCTTCTAACTTCTTCTCGATCACCAACTTCTTCACGATCACCAACGCAAAGCTCACCTACTGAACATTTGATCATAGAACACCACACACACATCTATGCAATCATACACGAAGCAAACAATAGAACTAATTTAGAACAATACACCAACAGGGATAAAACAGTTTAAAAAGTTTATAAAACTAATCTACGCATCGCTACGATCACACAGACGCGAAGATCACGAAAAACGGAGCTAAAACGAGGAAGTTATGATTAAAACAAGTTTTCCTATTAAAGAAATAGATTAAATCTAAACTCAAATTTTAAAGTTCAAAAACATGATGACAAATTATATGAACAGATAGATCTCGAAAAGGCGAATCTAACGCAAGTTGAACGAATCAATTTGGAGTTAAAACGAAGAAGTTATGGCTAATTAAAGACAGTGGCAAATATGTAATTAGATCGAACTTGATTTTGAATTTGTTAAAGGATATTCTCTGGAATACGTCATGGACGGCGGGTTTGAATACCGAAATCTGCAGGGGCTCTTTAGCAAATTTGCCCGCGAAGGGGTACCTTTGGCTCTGCGCCGCTGGATCAGAGGCAGACGATCAGGATTAGATCGGGCAGAGAGAGGGGGAAGGCTGGCCGGAGAAGATGACCAGCGCGCCCGAGCGACATGGCCGGCGGCGAGGGGAGCTCACCGTCGTAACTAGAATGGGCGGTTCCAGCGACCATTCGACACGGGATAGGTACGGGAAGGAAGAAGAGCTCATCGCAAACTCACCTAGAGTAAATATGGAGGCCGAGGCAGATCGTGGACGACGCGCGGCTCTCTGAGGCGGATGGCGTCGATCTGCAAGTTCGGCGGTAAGGTATAAGTTACCCAGAGTGTAAAATAGAGAGATAAAAGGTCCGACAGCTTCGAAAACCCGTAGGAAAGATCGGCAAAGCAACGAATTCGTCAGCAGATGAGAAGAAGAGCTCGGCAGTGTGACGGTTTCTCCCTCTAGGGTTACGGCGGTTGGTGCGGTCTCAAGACGAGGTGGCGAGGTACTTTAGGGCGGATAGGGGCGTGCGGGTGCGGCTCCGCTTCTATTTATGAGGGGAATCGGTGCGTGGGACGCACGCGAGGGAGGTCGGCGCAGCACCGGATCAGACTCCAATGCACGGACAGTGTCCGCGTTGAACATGAAGGGAGGAAGACGATGACACTGTTGACGCAGGGTCCAGTCGTCAGTGTCTCACGGTGTGGGCTAGGGCTGTCAGCGAAATTGAGGGAAGCGCGCTGTGCTCGCGGGCTTTGGCCACTGGGCCGGCTGCGCCGCTTGGGCCAAAAGGCGAGCTGGGCTGCGAATTAGGGATGAAGGGAGTTGGGCCATCGGGCCAGGAAGGGAGGGAAAAGGCTGGCTTGGCCAAAAGAGAGGTAGAGGGAATTTTCCTTTTTCTTTTTATTTCAAGGTCATTTTCAAATCTTTTCAAATGGGATTTTGAAATCCTTTTAAATTTGAACAAAAACCAGTCACCACAAATTAACACATGCAGAAGCTTGGATGCACAAACATGTATCTAGCCTTAAAGTGAATTTTATTTTTATAAATATTTTTTTTTCCTACGTTCACATGCTCACAAAATATATAAATAAATCATTTTAGGCTATTTCAAAAACAGGAAATTTTTAGGGTGTTACAATTCTACCCCCCTTAAGATGAATCTCGTCCTCGAGATTCGGAAGACGATGATGAAAAGATAAAGATACTCTGCCATTGGACCTTCACTTTCTCTAGTTCCATCTTTTTTATTTCGATTCGCGTTACTTTGCACACTCTAAAAACCTTACTCCAAATAATATGCTCAACTATTTCCAAACTTTGACAGGGTGCCCACAGCTGCACATGCCATAGAAGAAGGAAGCCCACAGCTGCACATGCCAACAGAAAGAGAAGAGGCACTTAGCACAGAGACCAGCAGAATGGTACTTAATCCATTCCAAATTGTAAGACGTTTGACTTTTTTGACACCAAGTTTGACCACTCGTCTTATTCAAAATTTTTTGTAAAATATCACTTCTTTCGTCGTGGTTTGGTTTATTAATAAAAAATCTTCAAGAATGACTTAAATTTGACTATATTTACACAATTTTTTTGAATAAGACGAGTGGTCAAACTTGGGGCCAAAAAAGTCAAACATCTTACACTTTGGGATGGAGGGAGTACTATTCTTCTGGGGTTGCTTTTGCTGCTTGGGTTCCATAGTGGAGCTGAATGACCATGATAATATCTGGCTCTGGCCGTTCAGCTCGCTTATCACACCAGTCGCCGCTGAGAAGCCCACGGCGACATACTCTGGAAGGCAGGTCATCTTGGTGAAATTGGACGTCAGGGTGTTGGGCCAAGTGGTGTTGGTGTATTCCGTGGAGACGAGGTTGTTGACGTCGATTCCAACATGGTCCTTGCTTGGATCATAGTATTGCGCATTCTGAAAGGTGTCAAACTCGACTACGGTGATCCTTCTATCATCACTGGCGTTATTGCTGGTCCAGTACCTGGGATCCTGGGGGAGGAGACCAAAGGCTCCACCGCTGCTGTCGTTGGCGGGGACACCGGACTGGGGAGACGCGAGGAAGAAAGCCAGCCCGTCGCCAGTGCCGTTGCCGATGCCGATGACGTTGCCGTCTCAAGATATGTTGGAGGAGAAGGTGGTGGTGAAGCTGGCCATCTTACCACTAGCTCTGTCCCATAGCGGCACTGGATCCGCATATTGGACCCGGCCAACACTGTTCGGGGCTAGTTGGTCGTATCTGATTCTTGTCAGCCAAAGCGCATCCACACGGAGGCGCGCATCCCCGGTGCAGATTATCAGTTCACTGAGGTTAGCAGGGCTTTGGGGTGTGGTGAAGCTAAGGTTGAAGGACAGCGAGCTAGCGCGACGGAAATGGATGGCCAACATCAAGAAGCAGCAGTAGAGGCATGAGGACAAGACGAGGAGGGAGGAACAAGATCGAGCTCATCACCATGGCTTCCCAACGGATGATCTTGGAACGTGGAAGGAGTACAGGTAGACACTACTATATGATATGGAGGAGTGGACTGAGTTCGGATGGTTACCTTCGACGAATCTTCCTATAGCCTAACTCTTGTGTTTTTTTTCTTCTTGATGAGAAAGACTACAATACGAACTACTGGTTCGTACGACCGTGGTAACTCATGCATTCGTTTCCATTTTCCACGGGTCGCAATCTGGGTTTATAATAACAATAGATGACTAGAAACAGACTAATAAGGTTGATGCGGAATCCACCAATATGTTTACTTGCTTGAAACCGTCCACAAACACTGAGCAACGTCCGGGAGACGTTAGAATCTGGTGTCTAGCTACAGTCTTCGGACTTTTTAAAATATACCACAAATTTGCACCATATCAATGATGACATAGATGAATATCATGAAAAAAAAACTGATGACAACGTTGAAGCAACCTGTTGGGGAAAGACGAGGAGGGAAAAACAAGAGCTCATCACTTGGTCCGAGGCCGACCACAAATCACGACGCCATGTGGCGAGGACACCACCAGACGCACCATGTGCCAGTAGGCAGGCTTAGTCAAATTGTGTTCCCATTAACTCATTAGCCATTGTTAGGCTAGCTACTTTGGTTTCTTGCGGACACAACATCGTGACATTCTCCTGCACTAAGAACTCTCTAACGACACTAATAGCTTGCGAAATTTGGGTAACCATGCAATGAATATTACTGGCAAATATATAGAGTACGCATCACAACAAAAGGAAATATCCTATCATCGACATATTGGGACATGGTAGGAACACGAAAATGGCCAGTAGCAACTTTGTTGCGAACAAAGTGAAGGCACTCTCAATGTGTTTTGTGCGTTTATGTTGAACCAGATTGCTTGAGAGGTAAATTGCAATCGACATTATCACAACAGATGATCAAGGCCTTCTCAATGGGACAGTGAAGCTCAGCAAGCAGCTGGCGCGAGCAAGATATAGCTCTGCGACAACATTGGCAAAACACGGTATTCTGCTTCTCTGCTGGAACGGAAACTATGAGCTGGCGCTTAATAAGATGACAAAGAGACAAAATTATCACCCAAGAACACTGCATAGTTTGAGGTGGAGAGGCAAGTATCTGGGCAACTAGCCCAATCAGCATCATATCAGAATAGGCCACTAGAGTAGATGTTGTGGAAGAGTAGTGTTATAGTCCAAAGTCAATTGGTGCCACGAATATATTGGAGGATCTGCTCGATCAGAGCAAGATGAGTCTCACACGGATCGTGCATATGAAGACACACCTGCTAGACAGCATAGGCAATATTTGGTCTGGTGAAAGTCAGGTAGTGCAGAGCACCAGCAAGAGCACGATATAGTCGATGCCATTAGACATGGGCACCATCACCAGAAACCTTGGCATGAGTGTCGGCAAGTGTAGTGCAAGGCTTGCAATCAAACATATAGGCCCAAGCGAGGATGTCAACCATATACTGCTGCTGAGAGAGAAAAAGTCCACTAGCACGACAGGCAACAGAAACTCCCAGGAAATTATGCAAAGGGACAAGATTCTCCATCGAGAACTCCTAGGTCAAAGCAGCAATAATGCAACAAAGTATAGACTCAAACGAAGTAGTGAGCACAATATCATTGACATAGAGTAGTAGGTATGTCGTGTTAACACCATGGCGATAGACAAGAAGGGAAGTGTTAGACCAGGCACCAACAAACCCCATGGAGAGAATATGAGAGGCGAACCGATTGTACCACATACAGGACACCTTCTTCAGACCAAAGAGACTTATTCAGGCGACAGACATAACCGAGGTGAGTGGAGTCGAGAAATCCAGATGTTTACTCATAATACACGGTCTCCTGCAGAGTTCTATGTAGAAAAGCATTTTTGACATCCAACTAATGAATAGGCCACTCATGAGACAATGCAACGTTAAGAACTGTTCTGACAGTCATTGGCTTAACCACTGGGCTGAAGTCATCTCATCATAGTCAATCGAGAACTGCTCCGGTACACCTCTTTCAAAAAAAATACACGTATCTTAAACCAGCTATTTAATTAATTAACATTTTTCCTAACGTCTGGGCCAGCCCCTACGCCCCCAGCCCGTGTCCAGCCCAGATCGACCCGGACTATCTCATCCTCCGATTTCGATCTGTTCACGCGTTCAGCTGGGCGGCAATCAACGACGACTGCGGAGCTCTACGCTTTATGTACAGCGTATACTTCCGTTCTGTCATGGCATGCATTCCTCTTCCGTGTCCAACACATGTCTAGCCAATCTCATTCCTCTCAACGAGCGAGCATGGTGGTACTCGACGCCTGACGGAATGCAGAACAGTCCGCCTCCGCCATAGCTCATCACCATAGCATCCATACTTTTCCAGATCATTCAGAATTGATATAGTTATAGTGGCTTGCAGCATCATAGTACATGGATACTCTTAGGGTACAGTGCAACAAAATTACTGCACAGAGATGATACTTGTTAAATTGACAGTTCACCCTGACTCCAAATGCAATACATACATACAAGAGACAAGATCCTAAAGACAAGCATCAGTCTAGGTCATGGTCTCGGGCAAAGCGGACCTCCTCGAGGGGCAGGAGCTGGCTGCGGACATCAATCACGGCCATGACACAATTCGAAGAGGTGCTGCGCACATGAGCGCCGCTGCCGTAGACAGTCCGGACATTGAGGGCCACTGGCCAGATCAGGTCAAGAGGCTGGACGAGATCATAGTCAGGGAGCAGGAGTTCGGGTATGGGCCGGGCACGGGCTGAGCATGGTAGGGGCTGGGCTAAGACGGGACCTCAATGAAAAAATTAAGATAATGGTTAATTAGGGTTGCCTTAAGATGCGTGCAATTTTCTAAAAGAGGTGTACCGGAGCAATTCCCTTGTCAATATTGATGCACTGAGTAAACCCCCAAAACAAACCCAACGTTCCTTGTACCAATCAAAAGAGCCATAAGAGGTGAACTTGCGGTGATAAACCCACTTGCCCGTAACCACATTGGCATCATGACGGCGAAGAACCAGATCCCAAGTATCATTATGCTACAGAGCAGTGACTCCTCAATCATAGCATCCCGCCAATTAGGATCGGCAAGAGCACCATGATACATCTTCTGAATGGGAGAGAGCGTCATGGCATGGAGGTTGAGCCGCTGCACCGGAAGATGAAAGCCCCGCTTGCCGCGAGTGTCCATGGCATGGTCATTAACATGCGGAGTAACTAGGGCAGCCATTGGAGGAAGAGGATCGTGCGACGACAGTGCCAAGGCGAGTTTCTAGGAGCAATTAGCATCATAGAGGTGATTGGTGGAGAGGTGGCCGTGGTGCTGTTGGCAGCAACCGGAGACGAGACGTCAACCGGAGCAGCAGATCCGACCAGATGGTGGGCGCCGGAGGTGGGTTAAGGGCCACATCCATGCTGGCAACAACTCGTGCCGACGAAGTAGCGGGGGCAGTAGGGACGGGACCTGGAATGCTGGGAGTACCTGCAGGCAAAGCTCACAAACCAATGGGTGAAATAACATAATCATCTGCGAAGAGGAAATCAAAGTCGTATGAAGGAGGTGTCGCAACGCAGAGTAGGGGAACCATATTTCATCAAAGATGACATCTCGAGAAATAATAACACAATTGGACGTGAGATCAAGGCACTTATTATAACCTTCGTCATCTGATGGATATCCAAGAGAGACTCACAAGGTGGAACGAGGGCTGAGTTTATGCGATGTAGTAGCGAAAAGATTAGATAGCAGGCGCACGCTAATATACGCAAGTGCGAATAGTCTGGTGGGGTGTTATAAAGGGCATGGTGGGGTGTGTTGGAGGACAACATATTGGAGGGATGATGGTTAAGGAGATAGGTCATTGTGTGAAGAGCTTCAACCCAAAAGGATGGGGAGGTTGGCTGGAAAAGTAATGAGCACGTAATATTATTAGTGGACCGAATGAGATGCTCAAGAGCTTACCATTTTGGGAATACGTGTATGGGCACAACATATCGAAGAACTACACCTTTAGTGAGAAAGAAGTATCAGGATGTGGCGTTGTTGAAATCATGACCATTGTCATCTTGGACAGATTTAATAGTGCAACCAAACTGTGTGGCAACATAAGCAAACAATTGTGCATAGTAGGAAATGTTTCAGACATTAAATGAAGAGGGAACATCCGCCATGAAGCAAATGGCTCCTTCATCCCGACGGTGGCAGAGTGACGCAATCAGCGCAGACATGTAGCGCTACTTTGTTCCTTTTCATTTCCCTTGACCGGAGCAGGGAGGGAGGCTCAGAGGCTCATAAGAGGACATGTCGCATCCAAGAACGAGCTTGTCCTGTCTTGGCCAAGAGGAGGAGCCGTGGCAGGTGACTCATGTGTAGAGCATATGGCCACACAGCACCCAAACAACGCTGGGGACAGAGCGGTGACAACAGTTGCTGCAAATAGCGGTAGTGCTTGGGGAAGGGCTTGTTGATCCCCAGAGCCCTAGGACGGAGAACCATGGAGGCCGTCCATGGGTGTGCGGCAAGGTGAAGGAAAGGAGGAGCAGAGACGTGGACACTAGGGCCACAGCCGCCACCCACGCGTTTTTGGGGTGGGGGGGGGGGGAGGGAGGGGCGTGGGCCGGGGCGGAGTGGCCACCGGCACGACGGGGAGAGGCTCAGAATGTAAAAAACACAATTTACAAAGATGCTTGCTTTAAGTGAAGAACTACACAACAGATGATTGTTTTAAAGTGAAGAAGTATAACGGTAATGAATGTGCAAAAATGTAATTTTACAATCAATATATAATACACAAAGACGCCCATAGAACAGTGGGAGCCCATACAGCAGTGATGAATGTAAATCAAGCCAACTCTTTTGAATCTTAGAGCAAGGGAGAGGATGCTGACTCGGAAGAGACCTTGGAGTGGCCACCGGTTGTCGCCGTGGTCGTGGAAGAGGAGCTCTGAACGGACAAGGCGCCAATAGCACGTCCAGTGACGGCAAACTCCGACACCGTTCTGTACATCTGCGGCGTGAGCGTCGGGAGCCTAGCGTCCTCCGACTGCAGGACGTGCATGGCCTGCTCGATGGATGGCCGTTCGGTCTGGTCAGGATGCGCGCACCACAGCCCGACGACGAGCACCCTCTCCATGCACCTATCGTCGGCCTGGTTGCCGGACCTCAGCCGCTCGTCCGCTGCTTTGAGGATCGCGTTCCGGCAATAGAGGCCCTACATCCACTTGACTAGGACGAAGTGCGCACTGCCTTCCAGCAGGATGACGGGGCACCGCCCCGAAACGATCTCGAGGAGGACAATGCCGAAGCTGTAGACGTCGGAGTAGGTGCTCGGGTGGAGCGTGTTGACGAACTCTGGGTCGATGTACCCGGCCGTGCCCATCACGGCCCTGGTGGTGTGCCACCGTGCGCCGTGATCGCCAAGCCGGGCCAGGCCAAAGTCGCCGAGCCTGGTGCCGAGGGACTCGTCCAGCATGATGTTGCTTGGTTTGATGTCACCGTGCACCACACACTGCTCCCAGTCCTGATGGAGATACCGCAGCGTGGATCCCAAGCCAAGGATAATCTGGTACCTATGTGTATGTACCTTATAAATCAATCAGTGGTTGGTAAAAAGAGATAAGCTAGCCTAAAATTCTCACAACAATCATAATCATCCAACCATTTATCAAAGTAACCATTTATGCTATTATGAAAAAAAATATAAGAAACATTCTAATTTTTTATCTAATAAATTAACCACCTCTAAAAATAACCTAAAGTAACCCTTGTTATTATATATTTTTTTTTAAAAATACTCCTATAATCTTCTCAATTACTCTCTTCTATCATTATTACTAATATAGAAAAAATGAACTATATGTTATGCGTGCATACGTGTCACTATGCAAATCATATACACATATGCATGAAGTGATGACCATTTCGATTTACAAGTCAAATACATAGCACCTGTGTTAAGTGTCACCATTGCATCACATATATATGCATATATATTTCTTAATTTCAAACACACATAGTTTAATTAAGCTAAAATTTCAACTAAACACATATCAAGTAAACAGACCATCAAAACGTATCAAGTAAACATGGAGATGCAATGCAAGGAGAACAAATATGGATAAAATTACATATAGAGTAATTTTGTAACTATAAATTATTACAACAAGACAAAATTTAAGGAGGATGTACCGTATTTGTATAAACCTTGTCAAATTAAAGGACCAAATATAAACAACTTCAACAACCATGGGGCCAGATATGCTGAGTTTTTTTCTTTTTGGAAAGATCCCGAACATGGCGGCATAGAAAAGAATTACATGCACAAGCAGCGTAAACAACTTTTTAGGTTTGACAGACTGTCAAGCTAGACAAAAAGAACTAAACGGACTACTCACAATCTCCACAACAACAGGTCATAACAACTTGCACCCCCCCAAAAACAACCGATGTGCAACTTCTAACTTCCTAAGCCGACCTCCAAACTTTTTTTTCGACACCCAGAACACCTCTGTCTACTGGCCACCGTCTTGCACTCCCCAACACTATGGCAACTCACTGACCCGGAATGATATGCTGAGTTTATCCATGAATCTTCTAGCACTTACTCTATCCGTTCCTTTGAGATTGTCGTTTTTGACTTCAGAGTATCGTGTTTGACCATTCATTTTATTCAATTTTTTTACCAATCATAAAATAAATAAATCATTATTAAAGTATCTCTAATAATAAAATAAGTCATAACAAAACAAATAATATTTGTATAAATTTTTTTGAGTAAGACAAATGGTCAAACAAAATGGTATAAGAAGTTCAAAACGACAATCTAAATAGGATGGAGAGAGTATATATGTTGGTTATTATTACTAGTCTATCCATGCATGATAATTATTAAGGATGGTTAAATGTGTCGTTACCTTTCTGACCACGCCAAAAAGCTCTCGCTGTCGTCGCTGCTGTGGAGATGTGTGTCGAGGCTGCCTTTGGCAACCAACTCGTAGACGAGCAGGAGGCCATTGCGACGACTGTCGCACCACCCCAAGAGCCTCACAAGGTTTCGATGCTTGAGACGGCTGATGATCCTCACTTCCGCCTCGAACTCCTTCCTCCCCTGCGCCGACGACTCCGATGAGAACATCTTGATGGCCACCGGGCGCTCTTCTCCGGCAACGGCGAGCTTACCCCTGTAGACGCTTCCGAAGCCACCGCAGCCGAGCTTGCCATCTTCGGCCAAAGTTGTTGGTGGCGGCCGCCAGCTCGCGGTACGCGTATCGCCTAGGGCCGCTGGCAGCCACCCCTCTCGAGCTCGGCCCTGCCGTGTCGTTGTTCTCCTTCACGGTCGCTGTCAATGGTTTCTTCATTTGGTGGTTTCTTGTGTCGTTTGTGCCGCCATACAAGCACGGCTGCACATGCCAAGAGAAATACTCCTAGCACAGCCGCTAGCACGGAGATTACTATCTGGGTTCGTCCTACTGACCTTGTCTTGGGATGCTGGACGATTTCAGGTGACTGATGAAGCGGCGGTGGCGGCGGTGCTTGTGCTACCTGTTCCTCCTGCAGAGTGGATATGAATGACCATGACAGTATCTGGTGCTGCTCGCCACCACCGCCAGTCGCTGCCGAGAAGCCGATAGCGACATGCTCGGGAAGGTAGCTCTTGAGATCAACAGTGGCGTTGACGTAGTAGGACGTGTCGCCGTTGATGGTGAGCTCGACGGCCAGGAACTTGGTAACATTCTCGTACCTCACGGTTGCCATCATCTTGTAACCGGACGTGAGGTTCCTGGTCGGCGAGGTGGTGTCGGTGACCGCCGTGGAGTTGAGGGAGTTGACGTCGATGGCCACGTGGTTGCCGCTGATGTCGCCGTATAGCTGCTGGTTGCGATAGGTGTCGAACTCAACGGCGACCATGGTGGTGTCGCCGGTGCCGTTGGTGGCGTAAGGAAGGAGGCCCAAGCTGCCCCCGAAGCTCCCGGGGGGCATACCAGACCCGACATGATGGCTGAGCAAGAAGGCCATCCCGCCGTCGCCGGGAGTGACGATGGTGCTCACGTCGTCCAGAGTGATCTGGAAGTCGAAGCTCACTACCACAATAATTTTAACCGTGGCGGGCAAAAAAGGTTAACCGTGGCAGTTTTCCCGACCGCCACGGAGCTAACGTCACGGTTAATCATGTATTAACCGAGGCGGTTTGGTGCCCACCACAGTTAAACCAATAAAAAAACAAAAAAATGAAAAACCCATCCTAGCCCTACCGGGCCTGGATCTGGGCCGGCCCCACGCGTCTGCGCCGCCGGTTTCGCTGCCGCAGCCGTGGCCCATCCGCCGCCGTCGTCGCAGATCCGGCCTCCCCACCTCCAGATCCGGCTTCTGTCACCGCTACAACCGTCGCAGATCCGCCGCCGCCGCCCAGCCTCCGGATCCAGCTTCCTCGCCGCCGGATCCGGCCTCACCGCCCGCGTCAACCAAGGGAGAGAGGAAGGCGAGATGGCCGCCGCACCGGAGGGTGGAGGGCCACCGTGCCGTGGGGAGGAGGGCAGAGGTGCCTTTGCCGCCGGATCCGGAGTTGCTGCTGCTGCATCCGCCATGATCTGGGCTCCTCATCGTTGCCGTCGTCGTCGTCGCGAGGTCCACCTACGGCCGGGTCCACGCCTTGCCCGCTCCGCCGCGCGGAGCATTGCTCGCCCGCACGGATCCGGACCCCGGCCACCTGTCTCCCCGCCGCCGGAGGGAGGGGTGCCACCGCCGGAGGAGACGGGTACGCGCCGCCCGGCCGCGCACCCCGCACCGTGCGTACCTGTGCCGCCGTGCGCCTCGCCCTGCGCCACCGCGCCGGCCGGATCCAGGAAGAGGGGCGGCGCGGTCTGGATGGGAGGGAGAGAAGTGAGGGCTGAGGGGGCTTGAGTTCGAGAGGAGTGAAGGGGCGGCTCACTAGAAACCCTAGCTTCTATTTATATATGGGTCGGAGATACCGGGCCTCGTCTGGGCCACTTGGGCCGCGGAGTTTTTTCCCAGACGGGCCATTTAGGAGGACCGCCTCGGTTAATAGGCCTATTTATGGTGGCGGGCATTTTTAAAGTAACCGCCACCGTTAATGATAACTGTGGCGGTTTCTTTATACTAACCATGACGGTTAATGGACATTAACCGTGACGGTTTTTTATAAGAAAACCGCCACGGTTAATGCATTAACCATGCCGGTTGCTTACCGTGCAGGCCAGCCTCATGGGTATCTATTAACCGTGGCGGTTTCCATTTCTAACCGCCACGGTTAATAAAACAAAAACGCCTTCTAAAAGATTTTTTGTAGTAGTGGCTAGTGGTGAAGCTGGCCATCTCGCCGGTAGCTGCGTCCCATAGCCGCACTGGCTGCGTGTACGTGGCCCGGCCGGTGCTGTCGTTGGTCCTCCTGCTCCGCCGCGTGAGCTCAAGCGTGTCTAGAGTGAGGTACGCGTCGCCGGTGCAGTATATCAACCGATCGAGATCAGCTAGGCTTTGGGGTTGAGAGAAGCTGAGGTTGAAGGAGAGGCAGCCAGCGCGAGGGACATGGGTACAGTCGTAGAGGATGATGCACAGGACGGCGAGGAGGGAGGCACGGCAGCTCGACATCATATACGTGTACTCTATTGGAAACGTTTGCTCGATCGATGGATCTCAGAAGAGAGCTGAGGTTTATTTCCAAGGACATAATAATGATCTCTCAAGTAGAGGATGATGCTAAGGAGGCCTACGACAGCGTCTTTCACGAGGACGCCGACCCCTCACATAGAGGGGCTTTGCGGGTGCTCATGCTGGGAGAGGGCCCGAGGCGATCGGGTCGCCGCCTGCCGCCGCGCAGCCCCCGCGTCTGAACGACGGTGTTGGCTAGGTAGTTGATTAGAGAGTAATAGCTAATAATTACCTTCTAATAGGGTGGACGGAACCGATTGTATAACAGTTTTTCCCCTAGTGTATCATCAGTGGCGTGTCGTTGTAATCCGTACTATTTTTCTTCTTAATGACAAAGACGCGCGCGTTCGAGGAAAAAAAAGTGCTGTAAGCATATATGAAATGGATGCACGTATACTAAGCTAGCTACATACTATACTAGTACACACACCGACCCCATGATGTGTGGATATGTTTCTCTGAGACGACTTCGACGACACAGTGCTATTATATTCCTTGCACCAGAAGTTACACGGCTGTCGTCGTCTCACAAAATCAGCCAGCTGGTAGTTACCATTTGATGGCTTGGTCTCGTTACAGCACAACTTGCACTCCTGGAGGCGCATGCAAGGCCCATAAACCCTCGGCAAAGGCTTTGCGAGGGCTGCCTCGCAAAGACCCTCGGGAATTTTTAGACGGCGAAGGGTCTTTGCGGGCACTCAAAAAACCTTTGTCGAGGGCCGGGCGGCCCTCGGCAAAGAAAAAGAAGCCGTCGCGCCAACCAGCGCCGTTGATGGTTTCTTTACCGAGGCCGACCCTCGGCAAAGAAAAATGGTTTTTTTTTTGAATTTGTTTGCCGAGGGCCGACCCTTGGGAAATAAATTTTTTTATTTTTTTTAAAACCTTTGCCGAGGGCCTCCTCCCTGGCCCTCGGCAAAGAAATTTTCAGGATTTTTAAAAAATTCTTTGCCGAGGGCCGGCCCTCGGCAAAGAAATGGTTTTTTTGAATTTTTTTTAACCCTTTGCCGAGGGCCTGCTCCCTGGACCTCGGCAAAGAAATTGTCAGGATTTTTTTCCAAAAAAATCTTTGCCGAGGGCTACTGCTTGGGCCCTCGGCAAAGGACCCTTCTTTACCGAGGGCCTTGGTCATTGCCCTCGGCAAAGAGGCAGAAATTTAATTTTTTTTTGTTTTTTGCATTCCATCGACACAAGCATTTCATATATATACATATATATATATATCACACAGAACCCATTTTCTCACAATATATCACAACCATAATTGTGAACCACAAATCACAATATATTACAACGACAAGTCACATGTTCATCATCATTCACATGTTTATTACGACAAGTTAATGAAATCCAAGCACAAGTCACAACCATAAATCACAAATCACGCTAAAGTCCAACCACATCACCTAGCACGAGTCCTCATCAAGCTAGCCTATGAGACGATGGTGAAGGAAAAGCAGGATCACCCGGTGATGCACTAGCGGGTTGATTGGAACCCGCGGACGGAAGCTGCACAAAGGAGTAGAGATTGCATGTGTGAGTAATCCGGGAAAACAGTTTTGGAACTTAGAGATTGCATCTAGTATTGTAGGAATACAAAAAGATTAGACTCAATTGAAAATTTTGGCAGCACCTCCCCTGCACGGGGAGGTTTCCAAAACCTGCAAGAAACGACGGCACGAACGCCGACATCCACAATGGCACGAAGGCCGACATACATGCAAAGCACAAGCGAAAAGTGAACTTTCATACTTACAGGAGTAGCTGCAGGAGTAGGTGGTGGAGGAGGTGGAGGAGCTGAAAACTGCACAGGTACACCCGATGCTTGCCCAAGACTTTGCATGATCACCATAATCTCCGCCATCTGCTTCTGCGCGGCCTCGAAATAAATGAAAGAAATCACTTACGTATGCTTGTTTGTATCCGGGGATGCTACGGCTGCCTTGATGGTGAGTTGGACCTTGCCTCATCAGACGTTGTTCCCGCTGCCTCTCGTGCGTGTCAACAAAGTCCTGTGATAACCACTTGTCCACGATCATGGCCCAGCACTCGAGATACGATCGACACCACCAGGGAATCACCTACAAGTCATCGAGTATTTGACATATAAGAAGATGAAATTGAACCTACTTAATATCAAAACGAATCATTATGAATGTTATTCGCCTACCTCAAGGTACTGGTCCCGGGTCAGCGTAATCCGTCTTGCTTGAGGCTTGGGGAGGGACTGTCTAAGTACCGACCTGTAGTAGTCTATGTGGGCCTGGACGCGCCCATGGTGATGCATCTCGGTGACGTACTTCCTACAAGCTGCGGCAGCCGCCCGATCCGCCTGGGCCTCAAGTCCTTCTTCGGCCTTGAAATATTTCTGCATACAAAACCGATGTATCCATTCATTATTTCAATAAAAGATTTAACCAATGAATACGATGTATTAAGCAATGTTGTGCGAGAGAGACTTACCCAAAACTCCACCAATACTCGCCTGCTTGTTGCGGTAAGTGTCATCCGTGACCAGCGCGTAACTGTCCCAGTTGGAGGCCGGCTCCCGCACCACCGGCTCTTCAGACAGTTGCACAATGCCGGGGTACCATTTCCTGCACAAAACACCAAGGATGCTCGCGGGGGTGCATGCTGGAGTACCCGACAAGACCAACCAGGCCCTGCACAAGTGATTAAGAAAATTTATCAGTTTCTCTTAAGATTTCCAACATATCTTATGAAGTAGTTGTGATAACATCCATAGTTACTTACCTCTTTGCCATAGGCCGAATCACTGAGCGGTTGTGAGGAAGCGGAACCGGAGGGAGGCTCGCGGGACCTTGCTCGTAGAGAGTCCGGGTAGCAGTACCCTCTCCCTCGCCCTCGAGCGCCTCGCCTCCCTCGCCCTCGAGCGCCTCGCCTCCCTCGCCCTTGAGCGCCTCGTCTCCCTCGCCCGTCTGCTGACCCCTCTCGTCCTCACGTGCTCCTCCTCTAGCACCTCGTCATGTGTCGAGGGAGGAGACTGCTGCCTCCTGTGGCGGCTACCCCTGCTCCTCCTCTCGTCACCTCCTACGGACGCTACCCCGGACGACGACCCCTCACCTCGAAGG